TGACCCCACCTTCCCCTCTCCAGATCTAGACACCATTTCCCCCGCTCTGAACCAATCCTCTCTTTCTCTGGACCTAAACCCTTCTCTCCTGCCCTGGATTCAATCCCCACTTCTGCCACTGATTCTTCCAATCTTCACTTCAGATCCAAGACCCCTGTGATCTCCAGACCCAACCACCTTTCCCCTGCACCACTATCCCTCTAACCCCCCACCAAGTTCCAACACCCTGATCCCATGGGTGAGTACGTAATGGTAAGTGTGACGTTAGGGTGCCAGGAGGGTAGGCTGCTGGCTAATTAAATGCTGGAAGGGTAGAGTGCCAAGTAGTGGGGGGGGGGGTGTTGGATGCCAGACAAGTATGCCAGGCCCAGGATGGCAAGATAAGTGATGGAGGGTTTACGGTAGTTTGGGGGTTCTTTGGTATTTTGGGTCAGACTGGGCAATCCTGCAAAAAGTACGAATGACGTTGAATGAGTTCTGGGTGAATAAATTGTCTTGCATTTCATTATATACTTGTTCCATTGTATTCATTGAAATAAATTCATTCATTTGTTTCATGTTGACCTTGAGATGAAACAAATTTTGAAATGGTGTTTTATCTCTCCAAGGTAATGTAAAGTCTGCATACACTTTAGAGAATGTAAATGGAAAGAATAGAAGTTGCATTGTTGCAGAAAGTACCAGATGTAAATTTTTCACAGTTTGCTCGATGAAAATGCAATGAGTCATTTATGGATATCTGCAGTAAAGGCCTTGTGTATTTTTACTCATTCTAGAGGGTAGCTCTTGCTGGAGTTTGCAGTGATGGCAATTGTGGATGAATGGATGGATTCAACCTCTAGTGGTGCCTTTCTTGCACCAACATTTAATCCAGACCTAGAAAGTACACTTGGTGCTCTTTGTCACATTAGATGTGGCAGGGGACTTTCTGAATTAATAGTATCTTCTACAGAGAAGAGGCCTCATCCCAGAGAGCTAGGAAGTGTCCGTTGAGTAGTACGTTACATAATAAAGAGTATAATGAGGTTAAGTACCACCAAAGAACATTAAAATAATATATACAGAATGCCTGACAGTGAGGAATGAAATAACAAGCGATTGAGCAGTTCATATAACATTATAATTCAAAAAATAAGTACAGGTTTCTCGTTTCTCTGTTGTATGTGCTAATTTGAATGTTACATGAGAATTTATTGAGATGGTTTCATTCTGGTTTTACCATTTTTACTTGCCAGTTCTTCTTGTCAGTGTGAACATTGACAACCAGACATTCGATTCAGCTTATTCCCAATGGCACCTGCAGTGAGGGATTAATGATTCTGATGTAAGCACAGCATGGTGATTGAGTGATAAGCAATGGTTGACAACCAGAAAATAATACTATCGGGATAAGCTAGAACCTATTAATCTACTCCACTAGACACAAGCCATAAACTAATCAGGAGGTTAAATTTATCTGCTCCGTGATAGTGAAATTATTCTCGAAAATGCCACTTTTAGATATGTTCGTGGGGCTTAGTACAATAAAGGTATGGATATTCCTTGCATTATGTGCTCTTATAAAGTACATTCTCCACCATTTGATTGGCCATCCCAATGGAATAGGTGTAACTTAAAAGTGAACAGATGGTGGACATCACATGTAGTTGCTAAAAAAAAGTGTTGTTTCCTCCTCCAACTCCATTTTGATTTAGGCCCTTCCCTCTCTCCCTACTCCCCATCCCCCGTCACATTTGATGGTTTGTATTGCCCATATGGGCTTTGCTTACAAATATTGAATTGGCTACATGGGTGTTTTTGACAGGTGGTGGATGGTAATTATAAAGGGGGAAAAGTCACAGTTATTTTGGTGGTTGCAAAGTCACTCAATTGTATGTGATAGCACTTCCGAGCATATAAAAAATATGCTGTTGTGGCTCTTGTGTTGGTGGTAGTGTCCCCACTTGGGTTCAAATTCCAATCTGCTCCAGAGGTTCATCATAACATCTCTGAACACATTGATTAGGAAAAAACTATACTGTTGGTGCTCCCCCACAACTCCATTTTAATTTAATCTCCTTGTTGTCTCCCTACCTTCCTCAAATTTTGATATCATTGCACTGCCCATAGTGGGCAGTGTTTGTTCATTATTAATGTTCGGTTGTTTAATTCGGTGGTGGGTTTACAAAAAAGAAAGAAGAGATGGAAAGCAACAAATGTGGTTATTGACAATTTACGTAATTTACCCAGTCAATGTGAAGCTATAATTAAAGACGCTAATCCGTTATTGGGTGCAATGATGTATAAAGGGGAAATGATGGCCTACACTATTATCCCAGAAATCCAGGTAAGGTTCTGGGGACCCAGGTTCGAGTCCTGCCACGGCAGATGATGACATTTCAATTTAGTAAAAATCTAGAATTAAGAGTCCAATAATGACCATAAACTGTTGTTGATTATTGGAAAACCCGATCTGGTTCACTAATATCCTTTCAGGAAAGAATCTGTCATCATTACCTGGTTACATATGACTCCAAATTCACAACAATATGGTTGATTCATAACTGCCTCAGGGCAATTAAGGGTGTGCACAGTGACACCAGAATGAATTAAAAAATAAATCTGCTTGAGTTATTAAAAGGACTTATCGATCATTGTGTGGTCCATGTTTTCAATATTGTGTGGGAATTTTAATATTCTTCCTTCAAAACTCCACTGATAGATTGGAGGGTGTTGTGAAAAGAACAATAAGGAGGTCATTTTGACACTGGCCAATGGTGTAAAATGGTTGATAATGAATTGGTAGCCAATATTATATCTCTTCTGATTTATATTTTCATTTTAGTTCATATTGGGACAGATCTAAAATGGGCAGTCACGTAGTATTGCCCAAAATCAAAACTACATGCATAATTGTTTAGTGAGACTTGAGTTCCAAGTTATTCTTATGTGCATACATCCTGTTCAACTCAGAACTAAATGTTGCTTGATGGTATAAAATCAAAAAGGATATATTCCATGTTTCTAAAATGCCATCAAGAATAGGTGAAAAGTGATATTTTAAGGCATAAGCACAAAACCAGAGAACATGACTGGAAAATTAACAAACCTGTTGCAGACCAGACCAAACCCCCTCAAAAAATATCAAAAAGATAGCCTAGACTGTAACTTTTATCTTATTTAAAGGCAAGTGTAAGGCACTGGATTCCAGATGTAATTTGATTGGTCTAACTCAACTTTCAACAAAACACACTTTATTCTTACACTACAGTTAAAATACAAACAAAAAAAGAAGAATTGGTATAACTTTAATGTGGTCTACTTAACAAAATAATATATTATTTAACTACTAATCATCAACTGTTCCATTAAGCAGCATCTCATAAACACACCCTTGGCGTAGGCAAATTCAGCGAAACAGATTTCCCTCACTTGCTATCTTCTCCAGACCAGGAGAAAGGAAAAAAACAAAAGAGTGAATCTAGCAGCAGACAGAGAACTCAAGCTTTTGCAACATCAGAGAGAGCTGTATCTAGCAGCTTCAACTCGAAAACTCCAACTTCAACAACTGAAGCTAAAACTAAAACCCTTGGTCTCTGTGGGCCTGACTCCACCCACTCATGCTTCTTTTAACTAATTTTTTTTTTAGAAAGCTATTTACTCATCTTTCTGTGGAGCAGACACCTCAGCACCTGATTTACAATGCCCCTCTTCAAGAGAAACAGAACAGAACAAATCCCTTTTGAAGCACATCACCTCACAATCCAAAATAAGACAAAAAGATTATTTATCCCAGAACAATCTTTAAATAAAGTCCACACTTAATTATAACATTTTATTCAAACAAAAAAGTTCCCAGCAAAGCACTGACTATTTAAATAGAGATATCTTTGTTTCCAACACAACCCTGGTCTCCTCTCCCTGACCAACAGAAATCCCCCCAGCCTCACATCACAATCCAGGCCCTCCAGGAGGTGTCCTTCTGGTCGCAGCTACACCTCCCTGGTTTCACTGCTGAACACAAGAGTTTTCGGTATCTGATTGGCTGGCACTTCTCGCAGTGACGTGTGTCCCTTGGAGTCCAGGTTCCAGAGGATGATCTATTGGTTTCCTTGCCATTTCCAGTTTGAAGTCTGGTTTCAGTGGATCTTCATAATAATAGGCACCTCAGGTTTCTCATTAGTTGTTAAACAAATAGGCGAGATCCCCAATGCCACAACAAGATTCAGCCCAATGTGTGAATTCAGGTCTTGTACGTGAAATAAGCTTTTCTTAAACTTGGCAATATTCAGTCCATTTAAATGTTTGAGTTGATTTACTCAGCAGGGCGCACTTAACATATTATTTAAAGTTCATATCATATTAAACTGACTTGCAATTAGATTGAGAGAATGCTTGTAATACAGAAGGAAGCCATGTAGCTTATTGGATCCATGCTGGTTCACTGCGGGAACAATTCCTGCAGCTTTCCCACTCCTCTATTGCACAATGACATTTGGGAGAGTTAGGAAAATCAAGGGACAAAATGGAAAAATCAGAAGATAATTTACAAGATGACATCTCAGGATGGCCATACATCAATCGACACTGGGGAAGACTGCAAAAGGGTTCCTCAAACAATTATGTCAGGAAAAATGAATCCTCTCACCCAATGGGTGGAAATGGCCAAGCTGTATTGTTCTTAGGCCTTAACTATCTAGAGGGACCATTTTGTGATAATTTCACATTTGTATTAGCATGCTGTACCCCATTCTCCGTCAATGTAGGGTCTGAGCAAAATTGGAATGAAGATGTGCAGACAAGTATCGATCTGAATGAGAACAAAATGTCCTCGAGTGTGAAAAGCAGCTTTACTCAGAAAGGTCTGGAAAAGGAAGATAAGAATCTAATTTAAAAGATGACAAGGTGAAGTGTCAAGGCCCAGTACACTTCAATCTACGTCACTGCTGCCCTACACCACAAATCACCGGTCTAATTTGAGAATTTAATAATTTTAATCTAATTTATTTCATTTCCTCTAGGCGCATTTTTGATTCCCTTCTTCATTATGTTTGCGCTGCTCGGAATCCCACTTCTCTATTTGGAAATATCTATTGGACAGTATTTAAGAACTGGACCAGTTGAATCTTTAGCCAAAATCTGTCCCCTGCTCAAAGGTCAGTGCACTGGATTCCCTCACTGCTTTATCAGCAATCATTAATTAGAAGCCAAATGCCTAAAAACAAAGAGTTAAAAGGGATCTATTTTTACTGTATAGAATGCAACTAATACTTGTCCATGTAATGACAGTGAAAGGACAATGTAAGACAATGGGAATCCAAATTAGAAAGAAGTCTCTTAGGGAAAGGATGATTTTTATACCTGATGGCAATACTTGTCATTTATAGTTGTTGTGATTATTTTGTTATTCTTCCAATAAAACGAATCATAAATTTTTTGTGATTTAATGTTTTCAGGATCAACAAATATGTCTTCTGTTCTTCTTCCTACAGGTGTTGGTTTAGCAACAGTGGCCATTTCCTTTGTTATGAGCACATATTACAACCTTATCATCTGCTGGGCCATGTATTATCTCATCCACTCCTTTCAGAACCCACTGCCCTGGCACAGCTGCAACAATACTTGGAATATTCAAGAGACCTGCACAGATAGTATTACCACCAACAACATTACTGTTTCAGCAAGTCAGCAATTCTTTGAGTAAGTCCTCCATGTAAAAGTAAATACCAGAAAATTTGTGGAGAAAAACGTACAAGTTCTGAAGCAGAAAGTGGGTTGGTCTGTAAGGCACAATTCTACCACCACAACATAAAACCAGATGTATCGTGTAATTTAAATCACAAAATCCAGGTCAAACCTTTTGTGTTGAAAAGGGCAGCCTGGACATTACACAAGTATTACTTACAAAACCTTAAAATATTGGATTCAAGACACATATCTGCAGCTCTAGCTTTGTCAAAGGACAGCTAAGCCTCTGAAAGAGTCTGCCCTTGTGATTCCATGTGCCCTTTACAGAACTTTGCCCATGTATTAGTTGGTTTTGTTCTGCTGTTGGTTTTGGTTATTGTTCTCTCCACCAAACTCTTTTACCATTTTACTAAGTCCCCATTTTACTAAGGTGACTCAGCCAGCATTGTATCATTTTAAAGTCGTTAATCAACAGTGACAATATATTTGTTTAATATGATTTTCAGTTTAACATCAATTGCCACAGGCTTCTTGAGTTGTGGTTTGCCTGCTGTCAAGACCAACTCCCTTATCTTCTGCTTCAACACTCAGTCCTGAAGTCCCCCTGGTTTTTGTCCACTTCCTGCCTCTGTCCTTCTTCATAACCCCATTCCCCAGCTCCTGTTCCCATCCTCTGTTCTTATCATTAGCGTCAGTGTCTCCCCCAGCTTCCATTCTGAACTTGCTGTGAAGTCCTGAGCTTCACCTAGTGGCAGACATTAGTCAGTGCAGGAAGTTCTACTGGATGGACCCGAGTCAATTAAAAGTTCATGTGAGGACAATTTTAGCAAAAATTTGTTACACTTTGCACGTAAATTATTCAATTAGAAATACAGGTGCTTTACTGCTGGTGGTCAATAGATGAAAAAACACCATGGGTGATCTGGTGAGGGGAAAATCACCGTTCAGTTGTGTGTATGAGTATTTCTGGATTTAAAAAAAAGCTACAGGTTATTTTAGGGGCCTTTGTGGTGTAGTGGTAATGTTCCTACCTCTAAGCCAGGAAACCTTGTTTCAAACATCACCTGCTTCAGAGGTGTGTAAGAACATCTCTGAAGAAGTTGATTAGAAAATGACTATGGCTTACTTTAAGAGTCTTGTGGCACAGTGGTATTGTCCCCACCTTTGAACAATGAGGCCTGGGTTCAAGTTCCATCTGCTCGAGAGGTATGTAATAACGTTCCTGAATGGGGGATGGTAAAGAATTTTACTTTTATGTACATTTGCAATGTATTTCTTATACATTTTGAATTACTTTTTCTGTTAAAGGTCAGTGTTTGACATATGTCGGCATTTAGAAATGTACACGTTTTCAATTTAATGTCTTAGAGTTTCCTTCTGCTGATATATGTCCTGAAGCATCCAATTGTACTGTGTTTCTTTCATATTCACTGATTTATTTTGTTTTCCAAGCTCCTACTGCTAGGAATGCATCACACTGCATAGATATGATCCATTATTTCAACTTGTTTATTGCTTTTCTTTCCTGAGCAAGAAGTAGCCAAAGAAACTTAATTCCAGTTTTAACATTGATTCATACAAGGAACTATGATTCATTTAAAGTTGTTTTATTTTATAGTTGCTATATTCAGGAATGTAAACACAACTTTAAGAGAGGACTTGATGTATTATTGGATTTTACCGACTTTAGCATCATCTCTCGCAAAAAAAGTGAAAATGAACAGACCTTTAGAAGTTACAAACACACTACATTACTGAACAAAACATGTTAGATTTCTAATTGGGGGCTGGTGCCATCTTAAGCAATTGTAATAATCGGTGAGATGTTTTTGATTATTTCTTGTAGCCCTTAGAATCTATGAATATTTTGGAACATGTGCCTTGCATTTATCAGTGGATTTTATTGAATGCAACAAGTTACGGAGGTAACTGTATCATATAAACCCCATTGCCTTTATGAAAAGAAAGAGTTTACATTCAATTAATGTTGGAAGATGGCCATAAAGATGCACATGAGCACAACTGTAGCCATCATACAAGAAGCAATACAATGCCTTTATTGTGCAAGTGTGCCCAGATTATTTGAAAAAGACAACACTAGGATAACTCATAAAAAAAAACCAGAATTAATTTCTGCTGTAATGGCTACTAAATCCATTGAGAAAACCCCCCAATGTCTGTTTATCAATCTTCAACTGTCAAATCTGCGTTGATGGTAATTGTCCCAAATGGTTTATATACATTAAAAACAGTGTGAACGAAATGGAAGTATCTTTGTACAAAACATCAAACGATATCTTCAACAGCATACAATCAGCAGCTTAGGTTTGGACTAATCTTGAAGAACCTTGGAAGAGAGGTGAAGAAAGTGAGCAACATAGTTTTCTGGTGTCAGTATCTTATTGAAACTGGAAGACGGCATCCCATTCCAAAATTCAGCTCAACTATTACTGGCCATGGTTTCACCTGAGACATAAGTGTACATTGCCCCAGTTACAGGATGATTGTAAAACCAATGCCTTTAAGGAATGAGCATCCTGAGACAGAGCAGTAAATAATCCCTCGTCTGTGCGTTCTGAGGGCTGCCTTTTTCAATAGACCTGACTTTGAAAAATATAATTTCAAGTCAAGGACATTGAAACTTCACTGGTTTACTGTTGTATGATGGATCCTTACCACAGTTTCCTTGCTGCAAGATACACTGGATAGATTTGCCTTGTCTTTGAGAGGAGGGGATCTAAAGGGCCTGACTGTTCTAGAATGCCAAAGGAAAACCACTCTGTAAAAATCATCAGAGTCCTTCTGGAACATAGTTGACTATTACTTGTTATATGAGGAGTGGTTGAAGAATCTGGGCCTGTACTTAATGGAGTTTAGAATAATGAGGGGGTGATCTCATTGAAGCTTACAGTATACTGAGAGGTCTAGATAGAGTGGACATGGAGAAGATGTTTCCATTAGTAGGAGAGACTAGGGCCTGAGGGCACAGCCTCAGAGTGAAGACTTTAGAACTGGGATGAAGAGGAATTTATTCAGCCAGAGGCTGGTAAATCAGTGGAACTCATCACCACAGAAGACTGTGGAGGCCAAGTCACTGTGAGTATTTAAGACAGAGATAGATAGATTCTTGACCAAATAACCTAATCCTGCTCCTAGAACCTAAGAAAAAACAAAAAGCTGCTTCTTTCATTAGAGAGAGATACAACTGATAATGGTTTAACCTGAGGTAAGGGGAAAGGTTGAGAAGCAGAGTCCTTCACAATAATCTCCACTACATGTAGGAATCAAACCCATACCGTTGGTATCATTCTGCAGTACAAACCAGCCAGTCAACTGAGCTAACTCCGAACCCCTAGGGAGTGTAAAGAGAAGTGTTCTTGTGTTAAGCAAGATATAGTTTACTGCATAATAGCAATCAACAAGGAGTAGCTTTGGTATGATAGATATGATTACTATGACTTTGAGGGAGACTTGCAATTTAGGTTTGACTCATTCGAGATCTAAAGCTGATCTCCCACGCGAGTCTGTATGAAATCGTAGTATTTGGCAGTGCTTCATACACTCCTCAGCATTAACCCTTTCTGACTCTTTCATCCAAATACAACAGTGAAGAAGAGGCGATGGCCTAGTGGTATTATCACTGGATTGTTAACCCAGAGATCCAGGTAACATTCTTGGGACCTGGATTCCAATCACACCACAGCAGATGGTGGAACTTGCATCCAATATAAATCTAGAATTAAAATCCCTACAGTGCAGGAAAATGACCATTTGGCCCAGGGAGTCCACATTAACCCTCTGAAGAGCATCCCACCAGGCCCTGTAATCCTGCATTTCCATTGGCCAATCCACCTAATGTGCACATCTTTGCACCGTGGGAGGAAACTGGAAAACCTGGCAGAAACCCGCTAATGTCTGTTAGGGAAGGAAACTGCCATCCTTACCGGCTCTGGCCTACATGTGATTCCAGACCCACAGCAATGTGGATGACTCATAACTGCCTGATGGGCAATCCCTTGTCATCCCACCTTCATCCTGTTAATGAATAAAAAAAAAGTTACAATGAGTTTGTACATTCATGTTTGTCTCATAGTTTGGGGCAAATTTACTCTTTGTGGAAAGGTTCAATTAAATAAGCCATACATGTTTCCAAATTAAAGGCTACCCATACAGGTCCAAAGGAAAGTAGCAAGCCTGGCAATTTGTATAATGAACAACCAGCTGCCTTGTGAAAAGCAAAACTAAGGTCTTTCAGGCCTATTCACCAGGAGAATAGCAGCAAGTGTTGGAAATACTTGGCAGTTCAGAAAGAATCTATCGAGATAGAGAGATGATCTGTTTCTCTTTCCATCGTCATGCAATCTCCTGGCTATTTCCGATAGGTTCCATGTTTATTTCCAATTTCCAGCATCCTTAGTATTTTACTTTTTGATTAGTTAGAATGACACCCGTTCACCTGACACCATCAATTTTCCTCTTAACATCCAGGTTTCTGGGAGAGGTCGACAGTCGGTCAGTTTCAATGTCATGGTTATGGGGATAAGGTCAGTTTCCTGGCTTGCCTAGATCCCTCTTCCCCTGATCTGGCATGACCAAAGAGTAAGGAGCCACATAAACAGTCACCTTTTGAGAAAGAGACACTGCAAGGTGCAAAACTTGGCCCTGTGCAAAAAACCAAACAAAAATGCAGAAGGTCAGCTTTTGCAATTTGAAGCCACCTGAAAGAAAGACAAAACCAAAACAGTTAAATCAACACATGTGAGGGACAGGGTTGATACCTTGGTTCGTTTTCTCAAAGATAAATAAGTGGAGTTTGTTTGAACGGCTGCTCTGGATAGCCATGAGTTTTGTTTTTTTTTATTCAATCATGGTATGAGGGTGTCACTGGCCAGGCAGCATTTATTGCCCATCCCTAATTGCCCAGAGGGCAGTTAAGAGTCAACCACATTTCTGTGGGTCTGGAATCACATGTCGGCCAGATCAGGTAAGGATAGCGGTTTCCTTCCCTAAAG